CGTCAGTAAATCTGAGGTGATCTGAGGAGGAGAGAGAGCACTTGGAACAACTGAGGCAGCTCAGGAAATCATGAGTGGCATTTTCCAGTATTAAGAAGACTTCAGAAATTCAAGGTGCCATCATTTCCTAGGTGCTGGCATCCCAACCTTGCTGTACTTTGAGAGATGGATGGTCTTTGAATAGTTGCTAGGGAAGAAAAATTCGTCACCCTGAGACCAAGATGGTGCTGAGCCTCTCCAGACAAATCTGAGTCTGTCCAGCAGACAGCTGATTGGACAAGGTCACAGTTTGAAGCTGCAGAACCAGGTTTTCAAGTCAGGCCCCCTAACCCCAACTTCTCGCCTCGGAAAAGGGCTGCTCAGACGCTTTGCGGAGCTCCTACCCAGCCGGGCCGAAGGAGCACACGGACTCTTTGCCCCGGCAGGAGAGTGTGAGCAGTCCACAAAGGCAGGAAGAAGCCAGGAGGAGAACGACGTGGCCATGGCAGTAGAAGCGCTGAGCAGCGCCAGAGGGTTAAGGAATGAGCGAATCCCACAGGTGTTTACAAGCGCAATGCGAGCTGCTGCAAAGGCCTCCGGGCTCACTCCAGTGGCTCCAGCCGAGCTCCCAGGGGCCTAGGAAAGGACCAAAAGAAGGTGACCTCTCTTAGAGGCCCCTAGGAGCTTTACCTTTACGCTGCATTCTAAGGAGCCGGGAATCAATGAACTCCCGGGACGCGCCAGACTTGTAAACAATCTCGGCAACGCCTCCCCGACTCTCCCACGCCCCTTCCCTCTCCTCTCGTCTGGCCGGCGGGCTGGGCAAGGCCAGCAGGGCCAGGCTGCTTTTGTATTTGTGTGCTAGGGTGGCGGGGGGCGGGCCCGGAGAGGCGGAGACGCTTCGAAGCTGCTGCCGCTCGGGATCACTGGCGTCTCCCGGACCCTACGGACCGGATCCGCTTTCCTACCACAGGCTGCCCCGCCCGACCCCTCGCTCACCAGCCGCAGCTGCCCGGGCCTGGTCATGGGCTTGCCGCCCCCCACCCAGCATTATTTCCGATCGGACAGCAGCGACTCTTCGGCGTGCATGATGGGGGCCTCCGAGGATCCCGAGGTCCCGAGGAGGAAGCCGGGGAGGTCGGGGTCTTGTAGCCCCGCGTGGCTCGCCACGACGGCTATGGCCATCCTGGCGCTGCAGGTCGCCTCCACCACTGGCCTCTTTGTCTATTTCACCATGTCCATTTCCAAGGTGAGCTGGGGCTGGAGCTCTGCCCTGGGGCGTGGGTGCCCTGCGAGCTTCCTCCTTTCCACCTCCTTTCTCGAGAAAATCTAGGCACTGGCAGCAGACAGGGAAGGCGAGGCACGTCTGCATGCCCCTCAATCTATCCGCTCAGCGCTTTGAGGGAGAAGCTCTCCGCGAGCAAGGGGCGGGTTAGTAAAAAGCTATACGCGGAATTGCGCCAGGAGAGGGATCTGTTTTCTTTGCGATCTTTTTGTGCGTAAGTACCCAGTCTGCGCATATACGCGAATCCTCCTTCATACTGCGGAGGCGGCGTCCTTGAGACGCAGTTTGGCGACTACAGCCACACGGCTGCAGGGGCTGAAGGCTAGTCGCCGGGCCAGGTTCCGCTTCTCTCTCATCCCTTGGGCTGCCTGGGAAGACAGAGCTTTCCTGGCAGCCCCGCAGGCCCTGGGCTGGTCCCTCGCGGCCGCGACCTCCGCGCGCGTCCCCGGCCCGGGCCAAAGGCGCCTCGCCCAGCTCGGGAGGACCTGAGCGCCCGGACAAAGGGCAGGTTCGTTGACTATAATCGAAAACGAAAGCAAAGCCCTCGCGCCGAAGCAAACTGTGGGAAAAACAAAAGCAAGACTGAGGAAAAGCGAGGCTGAAGAGGGGGAGCGGGCGCCAGGCGCACCAGGCAGGGGCGAATCCCCTGGCTGGCCAGTTCGAGGTGCCCTCTGGTAAAGCCAGAACCCTGGGAATAGAATCGAGTCCACAGTTAGCACCCTTCCCCTCCGCCTCTGTCCGGCCACCTGTGAGATTTGACCTTTTTCCGAATCCCAACCATTTCCTAGGCTGGAACACCCGTTCCTAGCCCCTCGTGTACCTCCCGAGGAAACTGAGGCTCAGCCTGATTAGAGGACTCGCCAAAATCGCACAGATCATAACAGAGCCAAGATTAGAATCCAAGTCCTTCGACTCCAAATCCAGCACTCAGTCTCTGCTGCCTCTCGTACTCCCAGGATTCTCTCTCACTCCAGTCTCACAGGGCAGAAGAGCTGGGTCAAGCTGAGGAGGTAGGAGGAGTGAGCCCCCTTCCCCAAGGGAAGATGAAGTATTCAGGTTTCCGAGACTGTTTCTCTGCCCTGTTTCTTTTCGGGCCAGAGACCTGCTTACCTCAGTTTGTCAGTATTTATCAGGTTGAGGCACCTCCTGATGCTATCAGCCTGGATACACTTTGGGGACTTCTTACTTGTTGAGGGACTTATTGCTCCTTAGGTGGAAGCTGGGGGACCTTCAGTATCTGTCACTTACCCTAGAGGAGCCACCACCAGCTCCCCTTACAAGTACTCAGGTTCACAAGTCTTCACTGCAGTTTTCTTTGCAAATTAAAGGGTACTATGAATCATCCTCCCTCGTGGCCCTCTTCAGTCCTCCTCTCCTTTAAATCTGTGACCTATTCCCAGCAGGGATCCAGGTCTTCCCACTGCTGAGCTTTCCTCTATGTTAGAAGGCACTTGGTATTTCCTTTCCCAACTCTTGAGCAAGAGGCCTCGGGAGCTTTGGCTTATAGCCTGGTTTGTCTCTGGACTATATAAACTTGCTGCTGTTTGGCACTCAGGTGGCACAGACTACACACCCTCCTCCAAGGGGGTCCCTTCAGGTGACTATGGGACACTTCTATGGAAGGGAGGCTCTGTTTTGCTGTTCTGGATGATGTCGTGATGAACACCTTCCACTGGCAATTTCACTACTGCCACTGAGCCTTTGGGGGTCCAGAGAGGCTCTCCCCCTCTTTCCACTTGTCTTGCTGTCATCCCTCCTCTTCCAGGGTGGCTGGGTCTGGCTGTGCAAATAGGGACCTGTGTCCTGGTCACCATTCAGTTTGGCTCCCACTGCCTTGGTACTCGCATTATCTCACTGGTTCCTCACTGCACTCCAGGTTTGTGAGGCTGGGACGAGGGATTGTCTCTCACCCCTCTTGACAGAGCAGAAAATGAGTCTCAGAGGTAAACTGTGGCAAAATGAAAAGAGCCCTGCCCTCGAGAGTTTGGAGACCTGAGTTCTGTTCCACCTCTGCTGCTGTGGCTGCCAGAATTTGTCCAACTCACTTGCCTTCCCTGAGGCTCCCTCCTTTTACTCCTGAGACTAAAGTCCCCTCCAGTCCTACTGTTCTACCAGTCTACAGAGCTCTGGCTTGTCTGAGCCAGCCACAAAGCCAGGGCTCAGAGCCAGAGCTTCTGACTCCCAGCTCTAGGATCTTTGCATGCTGGGGAAGACGTGGCTGGCAAATCCCAGCTGTTTGCCCCATGTGGTGTATGGTGACTGATTCCTGGGAAATCTTGGAAATAAGTTACAGAGCCTGAGGGAAGGAGGGAAGAAGGGAGGGAGGGGAGACGGTCTTTTGGCCTAGTCCGATTGCCTTGAATCTGAGCTCAAAACTAGTTAGCATCAGCCCCTCCTTACCCTGGGTTTGGCTCTGACTACCCTCTCCGCCCCCACCCGAGTTGCCCCTGCAAGCTTTGCCTTTCCCAGAATGGAACAGGCCCAGGCTCACAGCCAGTGCAAAATCTTAACTTGGAGTTCCTGACATTTGGTTTGTGGGTCAGTTTTTACCTGGGCATGTCAGGACGGGGCTGTCTCACCCCACCCCACCCCACCTCACCTCACTCACACCTTGGATTACTTTTATTTTTGAAAATGTATTGATACTTGGATTTGATCCAGTCAGCAAGCATTGTACTAAGTCTGGGGAATTCAGAGAAAGACAAAAACTTGATCTCTCCCCTGGAGGAGCTAGCCTTCCAATGGAGGAGACAACGTGATGTGTACAGCGAAGGTGGGCCAGAACCTCAAGAAAGACTGGCAGTAATGGAGGTCGGGAGAGGTCGAAGCTGCTGGGGCACAATGGTGGCAGCTGTGTCTACCTCAGCCAGTCCTTGATTTTTTATTATGAGAGAGTTCGACTGGGGAGGGGGGGTATTTCCGGAAATGATTAAATATCAAAGACATCAGTAGACTTTATTATTTCTAAAATGTGATTAGGTCAGCTTCCCCAATTACTCACTCTCAGGAGCTTGAGGCTCTCAGGACCTAGGAATACACAGGTCCATCCAAGATGAGTCAAAGCCCACTTCTCCCTTCATCTCACTCCCTGAGGCACTGGAAGCCTAATGGACCTTCTGAATTCAGGAAGTTGTGGCATCAAGACCTGAACGGCCTCTTGTGGCTCATTGAGTCTATGAGGAAACTGAGGCCCAGAGAGAAGTAACTTATCCAAGATCACACAGAGTAAGTGAGGAAGCTGGGATTTGACCTTGTGCCCTCTGACCTCAAATCCAGTACAGTTCTGCTACATCATCTATCTTGTCACTTCTAGAGTAGGTAGGTACTCAGTAAAGGTTTGGTGATTTCTTGGCACTTGTCCCATTTTACGCTGGAAATGGGTCTCCTGAGACTAGATGCTCCTTGAAGGTGGAACTAGAATTAGAACCCATCTCCTTTCCAGAGTCCAAATCCAGGCCTTTTACCTTCACACCAAAAGGGGTGTCTGTCTCTGTCTCTGTCTCTGCCTCTGTCTCTGTTTCCCTGTCACTGTCTCTGTGTCTCTGTGTGTGTGTGTCTTTCTGTCAAGCACTGTCTCTGTCTCTCTCTGTCTCTCTGTATCTGAGTCTGTTTGTCTACCTCTGTCTGTGTGTGTGTGTGTGTGTGTGTGTCTGTCTGTCTCTCTCTCTCCCACGCACTGTCTCTGCCTCTGTCTCTGTCTCTGTGTCTCTCTCACACACTCGATTCTATCTTCCAGTCTTTTGACTGTCTAGGATCCCATGATGGAAGGCACCTCCTTGGCCCCAGAGAGTCTTTCTTGTTACTGGGCCATGGGTAAATCCAGCTGACTGGCTCTGTGGGAGGCCTTGGCCTCCAGAGGAAGACGGGCTGAAGGAGATCATAGCTAGTCATTCCACTGGTGTTTGGGGAGCCCTGCCTGACTGCCAGACCTGGACTGGGCACAGGGTGGGGGAGGGGTCAGGGAGGGGGTCAGAGAAGTCCAAGACCGGGTCCTAGCTAGTGGGAGGCCCAGCACAGCCTTCCAGACCAAGCTGTTCAGAGCAACCCTGAGGGAAAAGGCTGACTGGCTCCAGGTTCCTCAGTGGGCTTTCTGAGCTGAGGTGCTCACTCCCTATCCCTTAGGACTTCTGGGTCCTGACTGCCCCTTGGTGCAGAAGGGCTCCAGGCTCAGGGACTTGGGAACACAGGACTAGGCCAGTCCTGCTGTCTTACCTTGGGACAGTCTAGCAGACTTGGACCTTCCCCAGGCAATGGATTCTGCCCAGTAGAACTTAGATATACCCAGAGCATCTTGGGGGCAGAGCTCTGGGCTATGAGTGGTGGCACCTGGCACACCTAGACTGGTCTGTCAGGGAGCTGGTTGTGGGTAACACAGCCAGGCACAGGAGTGGTGTTGGGACAGTGTTTGGGAGGCGGGTGGGGTGCCATGTCAGAGGGTGCCTTTGATTTGGAGTCAGAGGAAACCTGGGTTCTGATCCCACCTCTGCCACTTAATCTACAGGGCCCTTCCCCTCTCTGAGCCTCAGTTTCCTCATCTAGAAAATGAATGGATTCTGTATTGGGCAAGATGATCCCGTAAATTCTTTCTAGCTGTGTGTATGTCTTCCACGGTTATGTTTTTTGGCGGTCGGCCAGAGGTTTGGGGCCGCATTATAGGGTAGGGGAAATTATATAGTAAGTCAGGAGAGCAAGTTAGTTCTAGCTGGGGGACCTTGGACAGGAAACTAACTCTGGGATGCAGTTATTTAATTTGTCAAATGGGGGAAGTAAATAACCCAGGGTGTCTCAGAATTCTTCATCAGTGGTCATTTTGTGGAGGAGGAAACATCTGCCTGAGGGAGTGGCCCTCGTGATCTCTGGAGGGCCAATTCAGCTCTAAAATCTCTGTTCCCCTGCTGAGCCCCACTGACTGACTCTTCAGTCCCTGGGAGGTCTCAGTTGAGGAAGGCCAGCCCCTCCAGGGCACTGAGTTATGGAGCAAAGGAGCCAGTGACTGTAATTGGCACAGAAGAGGTGGTCCCTCTGAGGCTTTCGGGATTTGGATCCTCTGGGTCCTCATTTCCCCCCAGCCCTGAACTGGGGCCATGACCGGGGGCTGGGCTAGGCTTCCAGGCAAGGGAGGGGCTCCTGCCAGCTTCATAATGGCATTTCTTTGCCATGGTTTCATGTGTTGCTATAATCCACAGTCAGGCTACTTTATGTCTTTTAAGATAAGTTTTATTGTTGCCTCTGGTTTTTACTGGCACTGTGGTCACTGGACATACCCTCTGCCACCTTGGGAAGCAAGAAGGACATTTCAGCCCAGGCACCCCAGAGTGATGCCAGGTTGTGCCCCTGCAGCCTCCCTCTTCCCCGGCTCGTTGTCTGTTCTCTGGGGCTCTGATCAGGGTCCCACTTACTCCCGATTTGGCTTCCTCTAGTGCTGTCTTCCTCCCTGCCAGCTGGGCATCTACCCACCGCTTAAGTGCTGGAGCTCAGGCACAGGTAGCTGGTAGTTGGAAGTCTAGGACGGGAGCATTAGAGACACGTCGAACTTGGGGGTCCCTAAAAGGATGTGACAGAGGAGATGCCCAAGGGAGAGCATGCCAAAGAGAGGGCCAAAGAAGGGCCGTAGGCTCGCCATCCAGAGCTCGCTTGGGCCTTTGAGACTATTTTCTTGAGCCTCACAACAATCCTGTGAAATGCCAATGAACTCTTTTTCACCTAGGGCATCTGGGTGGCACAGTGGATAGAGTGTTGGGCCTGGACTCAGGAAGATCTGAGTTCAAATGTGACCTCAGACACTCAGTAGCTAAGAAAACCCCAAATGGGGTCACAGAGAGTCAGACGCAACTGAAAAACAGCTAAACAACAACAAAGGAAGTTGAGGCTCAGAGAACAGGGTCCACTTGCAGCTTATAAGAGTCAAGGAGAGGATTTGAATCCAGGTCCTAACTCCCCAGCCCTGTCCTTTCCGCTACACCTGACTGCCTCTAAACATAGCCCTGAAATAAATAAGCTGGTAAATGATGTACTTGTGTTCCCGGGGGCTGAGGAAAGCCCCCTCCTGCACCTCTTCAGACCACAAACCCAACTTGCTCCTTGTCTTCATTGCTTTCTGGTTAAGTATCTATTTCTTTGGGCACAAACTGTCTGTGATGGCTTGGACGCTTCAAGCTTGTCCTCATACCATTGGTGAGCAGGCAGGACCTGGACAGCGCCAAAAGATGCTGTCATCCCCTTTTTCACGTCCCTGGGGCTGCTGAGGCAGGCCAGGGCATTGGTCCCAACACTCAAAGGCTGTTTGAGATGCAATGAGTCTGAAATGAGTTAGTGAACGTGAAGCCATTTGCAAACCTTTAGGTCTTGGCAGGCTTGCTCCCAGACATCCAGCGGCCCCCATCGATGCCCTGCTTCCCTGTCGCCTGCCGGGTCTCCTCCCGTGGCTCAGTGCTGTTATTACTTTATGTGATTTGGGGTTTGGGTATTTTTGTTTGTTTGTTTGTTTGTTTTTGTTTCTGCCCCGGCTCAGGACCTTTGCTTTGGCCTTCGCTGTGGTATAAATTGGGCCCCAAAGCATGGACTCGTAAGAGCTATTCTAGCCTCAGAGAGGCCTCCCCCTCCCTCCTCCCAATTACGTCCAGGTTCGTGGCAGTGGTCTAACGGCGTGAGAATGCTGCTGCAAATGAACGGGACAGCACTGACCTGAGAGCAACGCAGATGGTTTCTCACTTGTTCAGCCTGGCCTCTCCCCAGGTGGGGCCTATTAGGGAGAATGGCCTAAACTGAAAAAGCTTGAAAGCAGACATGGAGAGAACAGAGGAGCAGAAAGAGAGGGATGAGGCTAGGGATGAGGAGGAGGAAAGGAAGCAAGTGAGGGGAAGGTAGGTCATAAGCATATGGAGGGGAGACAGAGGAGCTGGAACCAGGCTGACAGAGGAAGGAGGCGCTGGGTAATGTGCCTCACTTAATCGAGTTAGAATGTTCCAAACAAGCCCCACCCATGAGACTACTCAGCATCCTCAGTTCTCAAACTCTTTGGTCTCAGGACCCCTTTATTTATTGAAGACCTCCCCAAAGAGCTTTTATGTGGGTTATCTTTACCGTATTGGAAATTAAAGTGTCTTTGTGTTATGAAAATAGTTTTGACCTTGTGGACCCCCCTGAAATGGTCTCAGGGACCCCCGGGGATCCCCAGACCACACTTGAAGAACCACATGTAGTGCAGTGGGGGGTAGGGGTGTGTGAGAATGGCCTGGGGGAGGGAGGGGCAGGGAGGGATGCCAAATGGGCCCATAGAGAGCTTGGCCCTAGGAGTATTGGGGATTTAGGATGAGAAGTTTTCATCGGTGGGAAAGAACCCGGGCCCCAGTGAGCAGTCCACGTATGGAGCCCAGATTTGGTGGGAGTGGGGGGTGCTGCTGACAGGGATGTTTCGCCATTCTGCCTTAGCCCAGGCCTGCTGAGAAGCCGGAGGCCTTGTTTGGGCCAATTCAATTCAATTTGTTTCCGCAGGCTCCTCCTTTAGACTTTCTCCAGACCTGGTTTTCTTTTTAGCTCAGAGGTCTGGGCAAATCGGGAAAGTTCCTCTTGGACTCTCCCACATCTTCCCTTGACAGTGGCAGGTATTCGTATACCCATTTTTCAGATGAATGAAGTAAGGTTTGGGAAAGTTAAACAACTTGGCCAAAGTCACACAGTGGTGAGTCAAGGGCAAATCAGAGTCAGACTCCTTGGCTTGAATTTAGGCTGAAATCTTGGCTGCCGAGAGAGCAAGGTTGGTAGATTTGGGGTGTGTATGTCTGTCTTTAGTTAAAGACGCAGGCCCAGGGGATTCCAGAGGAGTTGAAGTGCCTCCAGTTGCTCACCAGCCTGCACGAGAACCCGAACTTGGAGGAGCTGCTCCACAACCAGACGTGCCTCAAGCTCATGGGCAGTGTCAAATCGTACGTGACCTCGGTGAGCAGCCTCGGGGAAGGGCCTTCTTCCTGACCTGACCCTCGGTCTGTCTGCCTGTCTGCGTCTCACACACACACACACACACACACACACACACACACACACACACACACAAGTGTGTACAAATGTGCACTCATACATGCTCAAGCACACGTACCACCCCCACACACCTCCATACCCATCCCCCCCCCCACACACACACCCCTACTCAGTAAACTGCAGTAAGTTCCCTCTTACCTTTAGGACTGTGTGTCTGGCCTTTCCAGCTCTTCACAACCCAGCTCCAAGCCACCTTTCTAGACTTCTTACATGTTGTATGTTCTGTGTTCTGGCCAAACTGGCCTCTTTGCTGTTCCTCACACAGGAGGCTTCATCTCTTCCCCTTCCTCCCTCCCTAAATTACCTAGCATTGCCTTAACTGCTGGAACATAAGCCTTTGGAGAGGAGGCGGGAACTGTTTCATTTTTATCTGGGTATCCCCAGATTGTAGAGCACTGTTGTTGCTTAGACGTGTCTGACTCTTTGGGACCCCTTTCTGGGAGTTTTCTCGCAGAGAATACTGGAGTGGTTTGCCATTTCCTTCTCCAGCTCATTTTACAGACAAGGAAACTGAGGCAAACAGAGTTAAATGACTTGCCCAGAGTCACACATTAAGGAAATGCCTGAGGCCAGATTTGAGCTCAGGGAGGTGAGTCTTTCTGACTCCAGGCCTGGTGTTCTATCCACTGCAATACCTAGCTACCCCTATGTGCCTGACACATAGTAGGTACTTAATAAATGTTGATTGACTTTGGACCTCCCAGCTCAGGCCTCTCTTATGTCTGCCTTTTTTTCTTCCAGGTAACTGAAAACATTCTCCACCGGAGTTTACAGAAAGGTGAGCTGATTCCCTCAGGGCTTGCTTAAGAACAAGCCCCCTTAGAGAGATAATAATAATAACATCAGATAGCATTTATATAGAACTTGGAGGTTTGTAAAACAACTGTGCATATGTTAGCTCATTTGAGCCATACAACAACCCTGGGGAGGTAAGTGCTATTTTTATCTCCGTTTTATATATGAGGAAATTGAGGCAGACAGTGGTTAAGTAACTTGCCCAGAGTCACCTAGCTAGAAAGTATGAGGCTGGATTTGAACTCATCTCCCTGATTCTGGATACAGTGCTCTATCTTCTGTGGCAGCAGCAACTCTGACCTTCAGAATTCTTTGCTCCAAATGTCTAGAACGGTGACTTTTTTTTTCTTTTTGGTGAGGCAATCGGGGTTAAGTGACTTACCCAGGATCACACAGCTAGTAAGTGTCAAGCATCTGATAGAAAGGTGACTTTTAAATTGTAGGTACTTAATAAAGATTCACTAGTTTGTGAGGTTGAATCAGTCAACTAACAGGCATTTCTTAAGCACCTACTGTGTGCCAGGTACTGTGCTGGAAGCTGAGGCTACAAAAAGAGGTAATGGAACAATCCTCCTCACATACTGGGGCTGGGGATGGGAACAGTAACTACAGATTGCCAGTACATTATATTCAGAACATCTGCCAAATGGGTACAAGGAGTTAGGGAGGGCAGGAGCAGTGGTGGGGGGAGCACAGGATTCCTGTGGAAGGTGGGGTTTGAGCTGTCTTAAAAGAAACCCAGAATTCCAGGAGGCTGAGAGGAGAGAATATCTGTGTGGAAGTGTGGGGGACAGTCTGTGCCGATGGAGGGGTGTGAGTGAAAACCAAGGAGTTGGCCAGGGGGCCTGCATTGAGGAATGCTGGGAAGGGAAGGCTTCCAAAGACAGCTCACGGTCAGGTACCACAGAAAACGGTTGATATCGGATCCTTGAAGCAGTAAGGATTTGCCAGACCTTCGGGGAGGAAGGATTGAACAGGGAAGAGACTGGAGGCAAGGAGGCTGTTTGGGGAGTCCAGAGGGGAGGAAGGTAATGGAGGGGAGAGAATGCTGGACTGGGAGGCAAGGAGAGCCAGGTTTAAGTTCCACTTTAGATACTCACCAGTTCTATGACTCTGGGCAAATCACCTAGCATTCCTGCACATCAGTGGGAACATCTGTAAAATGGAAGTAGTTACCTAGCTCACAGGGCTCAAATAAGGTCACATGAACTGCTGAACAAGCGAGTACAAACAAGGAAGAGGAGCTGCCTCTTGCCCTTGGACTTTGGTTCAAGGTCTCTGGACCAGGAAATCCTCTCTCTCTCTCTCTCTCTCTCTCTCTCTCGTCTCTCTCTGTCTCTTTCTCTGTCCCTCCCTCATCTTTCTCTTCTCTCTCTATCTCATTTCCTCTCTCTCTCCTTCTTTCCCTCCACATCTTTGTGTTTTGGCTGTTCATATCTCCCCCGTCCAATCTGAAGAAGGGAGTGGGGGAGGGGAAAGCCATTCTCTTGGCCTTGGCCTTGAGGTCTGCGGTGGGGGATGGGCTGTATCGAAAGCAGCCTCCCCTGTTTCTCCTCCAGCTTTTTTGTCATTTGCTTTTTTCTATAGGTTTGACAAGCACCTCTCCGGGCACGGAGGGACAGCCTCCAATGCCACACCCATTCTCCACAGGAGCTCAGCCCTCAGCCCATGTTACCCTCATCCCCTACACTGTTGCCAATTCGGGTGAGTGCAGACCCCACCCCACCCAGAGGCGTACCAAACATCCTTGCACTGGGACCACTCTGGTCCTCAGAAGACTAAGAATGGGCCCTAGCACCATATCAGGCCCTTACTTATTCCTTGCTGAAAGAACATAGGATAGCATGCCAGCCTAGGAGCATACCACTATACTCCCTGGAGGCATGAGACGGTCCCTCCCTTTCTCTTCCTGGGACCTGGGACTCCCCTCCCCTTCTGTCCAAGTGACGTGAAGGCTTTAGCCACTCAGCATTTACTAAGTATCGAGTGATTGGCCCAGCCCTGGGTTAATGGGGGGAGACTGAAGAAGAAGCAAGGTCCTTGCCCTCTGGGAGTTTCCTGGCCAGTTGGAGAAACAAAACAAGACTAATAGAGAGGAGAGAATCTGGGTTCAAATCCCAGCTCTGCAACTGTGTGACCTTGAGCAAGACACTTTCCCTTCTTTGGGTGTGCCTCAGTTTCCTCCTCTGTAAGAATCAGGCAGTTGCACTAGATAGCCTCTTAGGTCCCTTCCAGCACTTGCTATGTCTGCCCTGACATCTGGGAAGCCTGCAAGGCATCGCATGCTAAGTGCCCAGTCAGGGGCACACACACACACACACACACACACACACACACACACACACACACCAGGAAATCGACTCAGGCAAGACCACTGGGAGCTGGAATTGTCTAAGGAGCCTTCACAGAGCAGCAATCCCAGCCTACGTGTGTGGAGTATGCAATGCCCAAGGTGCTTTAATGCCTAGGGAGCCTTCTAAGGATCCTAGAATTTTACAGATTAAAGAAACAGACTCCAAGAGGCCAGGCAACTTGCCCAAGGTCACACAGCTGGGAAGTGCTGGGAATAGAATTTGGATAGGCACTCCAGACACAGAACGGCCTAAGCAAACACCTGGAGGTGGGAGTGTCTATAACATTCACAGGGAGCAGTGAGTAGGCCAGTGTGGCTGAAGCCAAGGGAGCATGTTGGAGAATAAAGACAGATAAGCCTGGAAAGGTTGGCCTGGGACCAGAAAATGTATGCAGCAGGTAGTTGGGATCCATCACTGCAATGAGTTTGAGTCTAGGAGTGGGGTGGCACAATGAAAGTGCTTAGCACTTAACACAGTGCCTGGCACATAGTAGGCACTTAACAGATGTTTATTGAATTGAATCGAAAGAAATGTCTTAGGGAGCTTAGGCTGACTCCAGGGAGGAGCCAGGGGAGCTCGACCCTGTTTGGATCTGGCTGCTGTTCTGCCTGGGGGGTCCTTGGCCCCCCCCCCCCCCCGCAGGTACTCTAATACCTCCCCTACAAGATGAGAGGCTTGGAGCTGATGGTTTCCAAGGACCCTTCCAGCACTCTAGGCCTCTAAACTTGGCCCAGGAGTAAGAGTCACATAGTAGGAATGGAGAGGAAGGGCAGCAGATGGGAGAGCCGTTGCTGAGGATTGCAGTACAATCCTTTAGCTAGCTGGCTGCAAAGGTTGGGGGGTGGGGGGTGAAGGACAGAGAGAAGCAAGTTATCGGGAGGTGACTTTAGATGTGAAGTGGTTTACTTTGAGGCCCTGGGGAGATTTCCAAGTTAGGGATCTCCTTCTCCCCCAGCCAGAACCTCTGGGAAGGGCACATTAGGCAGTTGGAGTAATAGAGTCTGAAGGAAAAGCTGACTCTTCATCTAGGCCAGGGCAAGGATTCCTGGCAAGTGAGAGGCCTCCCTCAGGGCCCCGAGGACGCTTTCCTGGAGAAGAGAAGGTTTCTGGAAGGGCTGTCACATGGAGGCAGATCAGACGTGTTCTGTTTTGGTTGCAGACAGCAGAGAGGCAGGCTTAGGCAAAGCACGATGACATGGTGACGTGCTGGCTTCCCCCTCTCTGGAGGTCTTCAAGACCTCCAGACACTGGATGCCCACTTGTTGGGTATGGGCTAGTGGGGATTCTCTTGGTGAGGTTCCTGGCCATGTGAGATGGAACAGGAGGCTAGGGATCTAATTCTCTTCTAGCCCTGTGCCTCTGAGCCTTCCTCCCCGCCTAGTCTCCCTGTTTCTGGTCTCTGGCCTTTCCAATCTGTTCTCCATCTAGTAGGTGCTTAATAATTTCTCAATGAGTTGAACTGTCTCTCATTCATCTCCCTCTAGGCAACCTTGACCACCTTGGGGAGCTGCCCCAGTCCTGCCGCTACCCTCTGCACAACTGGGAGTCTCGAGGCCTGCTCTCCCACCTTCGGAACATCACCTTCAAGGCAGGTGCGCTGAGAGTCAGCCAGGGGGGCAAGTACTACGTGTACTCTCAGATCTACTTCCGCTACCCAGCAGAGGCTGAAGGAAGCCAGCCCACAAGCCAGCAGCTGGTACAGTGCATTAGCAGGCAGACGGCCTACCGCCAGCCCATCCTGCTCCTCAAAGGCGTAGCCACCAAGTGCTGGTCTCCAGAGGCTGAGTATGGCCTCCATGCCATCTACCAGGGGGGTCTCTTTGAGCTGAAAGCAGGGGATGAGCTCCTGGTATCTGTCTCTTCCCTGGCTGTGGATGATACTGATGGCACCTCCAGTTACTTTGGGGCCTTCCGGTTGGCTATGTAAGAAGCCTCTGGCTCCAGTTTAAGGAGTGTTAGGGGCCAGCTTTTCCTCTGAAATTGACTTGTCCGATTGGAATGCCTAATGTCTTTGCTCCAGCTGGCCTTCCTGGGACCACGGGACCAACTCCAGCCCTGGGAGGCGGTGGCCTTATTCACCCACTGCCCCAAGGAGGCTCGGAAAGATCCCAAAGGACAGAGAACTGGATTTTCCTTTTCTGCCTAGGTGGTAATTGGGGGTGGGGAGTTGGGCTTGGGGGGTGTCATTCTAAGCACTGTGTCCTTCTCATTGTTCTCCAGCTCTAGGGAGGAGGCAGACTGATGGGGGGAGGGGCAGGAGTTCAGAACCTCTGTGATCTGAAGGGAAAGTTGAACAAAGGACTCTGAGTACCAGGGGATGGAGATGGGGGGTGGGGGGGGTAGCCCTATGAGTGTGTCTAGTTGACCTAGCTAGGGATACTCGGCCAGAAAATTCACTTCCTTCTGCAGGACAAAGGCCAGCAGGCTTCATAGAACTGAGAGTATGGAGCAGGAGGAGCCCGGGTACAGAAAAGCCAGCTCCCTGCCCTGCTCCCTCCCCACCCCCCATTCCAGGATTTGCCTTTAGATGTCTCTTTACTACTTTCCAACATTCTAAAGGAAGCAAGTGGTCTAGAAAGAGTCTCCAGAGCATTTTAGCTCTGGCTCCTGGAAGTCTTGACCCTAGGAGCAAAGTGGAAGGACAGCTCACCTGGAGGGGGTCTTGGAGCCAGCCAGCATCCCTCTCTTCCTGGCCTAGCCCAAGTGAAAGAGCTTACTGCTTCCCCTGGAGGAGGTGACCCCTGGGAACAGAGACCTACCCCACCCCCAACAGAATAGAGAGTTCTGGCTCTCAGTCTGTGGCCCTGAAGCCACCCAAGGGGGTCCTACCAGGATCACTCCTGACCTTGGGACCCTCTGCTATCTGAGCCAAAGGCCAGAGGAAGTCACAGTGGAGGAGTTGGGTTAGGGTGGGGGTGGGGGTGGGGGTGGGGGTGGGGGTGGGGGTGGGATTCAGGGATCAACACAGCTTATCACTGCCGGAGGAAGCCAGGCCCTGCAGTTGGGTCTGGCTCCAGAACTACCCCCCCCCCCACTCTTCATTGACTCTGTGCCTGTCTTTGCCTTCTCCTTCCAGGAACAATACTTCCTCTCCACTCCCAGCCCCCACTCCCCCCTCCATCCCAGGTCCCTACAAGGCTGTGTGAGGAGCAAAGCTGTTGGGAGCAAACTGTCGACCTGACAAGGAGCCACCCTTATATGTACGGGGAGGGAGGACTGGCATATTAGCTATGGAGTCACGGGGCTGTGACTGTTTACAGGATTAACTGCCAAAGGGTATGAGAAGGGTGGAGGGAGGGTCAAGGGCATAAGGGGTGGGGAAGGACCGGTTCCCCTCTGCATGCTGGCCATCATTTCTATCGGATTTGTCTGTTAATAAATCTAGACTGCATATTATTCTCAACACCCACTGGGTGATCCTCTTGGCCAGATCTCACACCCCAGGCCACGTGCACAGCCCATCACCCCTTCTCTTCATTTGACACTATGAGTGTTTGAGATGCTTTGGGTCCTTGTCAGATTTGAGCCTTGCAGCAGTAGGGAGCTAATATCATGCCCATTCTACAGGTGAGGAAACCTGAGGATCAGAAAAGTGCTCTGAGCTACCATAATTATAAGGTCATAGAGGTAAAGCTGGAAGGGACCTTGGAAGTCTTCTAGTTCACTCCCCTCATTCCAGGGAAGAGCGAGTGAACAGAAGAGGGGGGCCCATGACTAGCCCATGCTCATCAGGGCACTAAGTGGCAGGGCCAAGATTCGGTTCCGGGCCTTTTTTCTCTCCACTGGGTCATTTCAGCACCATGGACTGTTTGCATTTGAACTGAGCTGAGCCCTAGTACTACCTCACCTCTCCAATGCTACAGGGGACTTGAGGCCTTCTGCTGGTCACGAAGCCTCAGGCAAACGCAAGCTGTCCTTGGAGCCCTCCATTCTAAGAGTCGTTGGACCCCTTGGGGAAGATGCCTTGCTCAGACTCTGGATGGTTCCAAAAACCCATCTGAGGGGGACATCTATTGATTGCTGTTTCCCTTGGAATCCAGAAGCTTCATGCTTGCCTGGCTTTGAAATCGGAATTTTATGACCTCCCCCCACCCCACCCCACCCGTGATCAGAGAAAGTATCCAAAGGGAGAGACACCCCTGTAAGCTGCCCAGGGGCCCTGGAGATGGACAGATGTGGCCCAAGGTCACCCTTGCAGCTGTTGTCGCCTACTGGTTCCCACCCCTCTCCTCACTGACTCCAAGGGAAAAGGCAAAACTAGATAGAGTGCTGGGGCTGGGGGTTGGCATGCTCCCAAATTAGCTATGGGTGAAGTGAGCTACTTGTCATCCCCTATACACATTCTGCATCCCCCTCCTCTTGGCCTTAGATTACACCATTTCCTTGTACCTAGAACTGTTTTCCCCGCTCCAATCTCCTCCCTGTTGAAACACCGTTTATGTCACCATTCTCTTTTTTTTTTTTTGGTGAGTCAGTAGGGGTTAAGTGACTTGTCTAGGGTCACACAGCTAGTAAGTGTCAAGTGTCTGATGCTGGATTTGAACTCAGGTCCTCCTGACTCCAGGGCTGATGCTCTATCCACTGTGCCACCTAGCTGCTCCCTACCATTCTCTTTGGCATTATAATCTGGTTTTTTCCTCCCTCTACTAGACTTGAGCTCTTATAGGGTCTTCATCTTTGTCCCTCCTCACCCTCAGGCTAGTCTTCTGCACCCAGTATACAAGGAGACAGGGCCTGAAGGACCTTCACTCAATTTTACAGATGGGGAAATTGAGGCCCAGAGAAGCTGAGTAACATTCCTAAAGGCACTCAGGTAGTGAGTGAAGTGAATCATCTCCCAAGGGTGCTGTAGTGACTCATCAGACTGGTGAAGTGCCTTCCTCCCCTCCCAGGGCACTTAAGGACCAGAGAAAGCCAAGATGACTCAGCCTTTCCCCCATTTTGGGCCTTCAGTGATTTCAGTAACCCCAAATGTCATTGCAGAAAATCAGACCATTAGGTGTGCCTAGGGGAAAGAAAAGGGCAGTCTTTAGTAAGTGCTCCTGGCCTAAGCATATCATTCGGGCCTGCTTCAGTGAAAAGGAACTGAGGGAAAACCTCGGGGTCAGCCAAGTCTTTCCCTAACAATGGGGCACGAGAGTGCATTTTGTGCCCTCCTTCGGACCTTTTGCCCCAGGGAAGAGGCCATTTGGAAGGTCTTGTGCTTCAGCTCCAAGGTGTGGCATCACCCTACACCACGCTGTGTGACCTCAAGTCAGCCTCTTCCCTTCTCTGGGCCTCCTTTTCATCTGTAGGTGCCATCTCTAGCAGTGCCATCCTTCTATGTACTATGTACTAGGCATTAGCCCTAACTAGGCACTAGCACAACAAAGATGACCTGTGGTCCTTATGAAGAGGCTAAGGGAGGTATGAGGGAAGGAACTCCCTAGAGATTAGAGCTGCTCTCAAACGAAATGGAGGGTGGCTCAGTTTGAGTGTCCACCAAAAGGAAAGCTTGATGGTGAGGTCACTGGGAGTGGGGCTGCTTAAGGCTGGAGATCCTTGAAAGGAGCTCCCGCTATTCTGCCTGGAGAAGAGACAGACTGGTTATTTAAGTTTTTAAAGTGCTATCAAATGAGTGTCCCCAAAGGGCAGAGCCACTGTGATGAAGTTATTGAGAGGCCAATTGAGGCTTGTCAGGAAAAATCAGCCATCTAGCCGGTAAAATGGAGTGTGAGTAAGCTGTAAGGTTTGTGGAGGGGCGTTATGGGGAAGGCTCAGAGCCCTGAGCTCATGTGACGGCCCGTCAGCTGAGGGAATTGGGGGAGAGAAGCTTGGGGATGGAAATGATGGCTATTTCGATGTCGTGGCCTTGGCAGTGTTGGGAATGTACGAAGAGGCAGCTCTCAGTTGAAAGTCAGGAAAATCGCCCTAGTCACCAGAGGAGACCCCAAATAGAAACTAATGTTGGTCCCAGCTGGAGAGCGAAGAGCTGGAGAGCCGGCTGGACCGGGGGGACTGTGTGGAGACTGCGTTTAAGGCACTGTGGAGCTCTTTAATGTGCCAGGCCTGGAGTCAGGAAGACAGCTTCCTGAGTTCAAATCTGGCCTCAGACACTTCCTAGCTGGGTGACCCTGGGCAAGTCACTTCACCCTGTTTGCCTCAGTTTCCTCATGTGTAAAATGAGCCGGAGAAGGAAATGGCAAACCACTCCAGCATCTTTGCCAAGCAAACCCTAAATGGAGTCATAGAGAACGGAACACGCCAGAAGAGTGACCACACAAAAGCAGCTCTTTAGCTTATGGGGGAGCTAGCGGGACGCGGGAAGTCGTAACGGTCCTGGATGCCTGGAGGGTTAATTGTGGTGTCGTCGCGCGGACGTACGTCTGGGCTCCAGAACCAGCTTTATAACTACGCCGGGACCCGCGGATCGTCCTGAGTGTGGGGGAGCGGGCGCGGAGGAGGTGCGAGGGCCACAAGTGGGAGCGGGGCGGAATACGTGGACGCTCCCAGGCCTGTTAGGCGTCGCTGGGCAATGGGCTTCGCCCTACTGGGCGAGCCGCTGCGGGCAGCCTTCCTCAGCTTCCTGGTGCTTGCCCTTCGGGAAGTCCGGCCCGCTACCGCATGGAAAACCATGGCCGAATCGGAGCCCCGGCTGCGCCTCACCTGCGCCCTGAACCAGACAGAGGAAGAGGCGCAGCTCGACGGAGACCTGCCGCACACGGCCGAGCGCCGACGGCTCAAGGGCGACCCGCAGCTCCAGGAGGCCCACCTCGCCAGCCCCGCGAAGGAGTACGCGGTGCCCACGCGGGCCTGCAACGGAGACTGCCAGTGCGTTTTCCGGGACTGGTCGGAAGACGTCGGGGCGCGTGAAGGCGCCTCCCAAGGTGTTCGCTAACCCCGAGACCCCTGTCTGTCCCCACATGTCCGTGTGTCCCCCGTCTGTCCGTGAGTTCCCCGTCTGTCCGTGAGTCCCCCGTCTGTCCGTGTGTCCCCCGTCTGTCCGTGAGTCCCCCGTCTGTC